CCCCTTCAGGGCCCTCTGGAGGCTTGTCACTGGGGTGGCGGCTGTGGCCTGCTGCTCCTGCCAGGATGGAGGACAGTCCTTGAGGCCAGACCCCCTCTCCCCATTTTCCCCAGCCCCCCGACCTCAGACCCTGATAGCTGACCTGGGCACTGGCACCAGTGTTACCCTGCAGCACGCTCCAGTTCCAGAACAATCCCAGCGCTGGCGCACATGGGGTGTGTGACCTGGGGCTGTGGCCTGGCCTCTCTGAGCCTGTTTCCACAGCTGGCAAGTGTGAGAGCCCCACCTACCCCAGGTTCTCCTGAGACCTCGGGGCCAGACGGCTTTTATTCCTTCACTGTTTTTCTCACCCTCATCCATCCTGGGGAAGCAGGACAGTAAGCTCACATCCTCCTTCCTTTCTCCTCATCACCACTCTGTGAGGCCTGCACCATGGCATCATTCTCCCTCCATTTCTGGGCTGAGGAGACAGAGGCCCGCAGTGGGGCAGTGATGTGCTCAGGGGTCCACAGAGGAGAGGCCGCATCCCCTTCTCAGCCAGAGGCCCTGGGACAGCATCCCCCAACCCCAGCCCCACCACTGACAGGAGTCTCGTCTTCCGGGCCCTTGAGTGGCATCCAGGCCCCTGTCCGGGTGGAGCTGTGGATGGAGGGGACATGGGGCCTTCGAGGCCAGGTTGAGGTCCCTGCCTTCCTCAGGCCCTCTGGAGTCTCTGCCTCCCAGACTGGAACCAAGGCCATGCCAAAGCCTTCCCCTCCCCAGGAACAGCTCAGAACATCCCCTGCACAGCAGACTTTGTTCATCCCCTCAGGAGCGTGACCCCTGAGGCGCCACCTCTGACTCACAGGGTGAGACAGGACAGGGCATCTGGCTTCCGCTTTCACATAACGGTCCTGAGGTCACTCAGGAAGAATCCACGAAGCACCCGCCATTCCCCAGGCCCTTTCCATGAGCCACCTGGGGCCTGCGTTGTTGCTGATGAGCGACCCAGGCGGGAGTCCTGACCATGAGTGACCAGCACTGACGGTGACTTGGGCACAGCGGGAAGTCACAGCCACTGTCTCTGGTCCAGCCACTCTGACCCAGGACTGAGTGGCCCTTGTGCCCACCTAGACCACAGGATTCCCCCGTAGCACCGATCCTTGGGACAAGAACGGTGCCCTTCCCTCGAAGATGTGGCGCGGTGCCCTTCCCCCGTCTGGCCCCGAGGCCTCAGGAGAACCTGGGGTAGGTGGGGGTCTCACAGGCTCAGGGAGGCCAGGCCGCAGAGTGAGCAGAAGCACCTGGATTCCTGAGGACAGACGGGGCTGGTCAGGAAGGACGGTTACCCCCACCCACCCCGTCCACCCAGCAGCCTGCAAGAAGCCACGTGCCGGCAGGGGGACCAGCACAGGAGCCAGAGACCCACTAGTGCTGCTGTCTCAGCGTCCCCACCCGGGACAGCCCAGACGCGCCCTGCATCTCATTCCCACGGCTCCTGCCCCTCCACCTGCCTCTTCCTGCTGATCCAGAGAAGATGGCGATTTTTCCAAGACACTTGAAGTGAGAAACTGAAAACCACATCCTGCCCTACCCCCTCCCCTCGTCTCCCGTCCTCTCTCCAGACCCCAGTCCTCCATGCTACCTCGATGACCAAACCCCTGCTCCAGGAATCAGCTTTGACACGCAGCTCTTTGCATTTCCAGGAGCTCTTCCTGAAGGGAGGGGCAAGAAGGAAGGAGAAGTTCCGGGAAAATTTGTGTGTGTGAGGAGTTAAAGGGCAAAGCCCTTTTATTTGAGCACCTGGCATGCCCAAACTGCCTGGATGCCGCTTTTCACTGGGATTCTTGGGGCAGGAAGGTGCCATGGAGCTGGGGAGGGAGCCCCGGCCTTGGTCCTGGGGCCTCCAGTTCCATTTCTACTGAGAAGATCCACCTTCACCAGTTCGGCAAATGATAAAACAGAATGGGAACCTGGGGAATTTTCCAAATCAGATATTCAGAATGTGGTTTTCTTTTTTTTTTATCATTGGAATGGAAATAGTATAAACTCAAAAGTTTATTCCAGTTCACACCATATATAAACTCAAAGTTTGAGTTTCAACGGGGCATAGACTTCTGTTGTTACAAAAAGAACACCTGAAATTCTCCATCTGGGCTCCACCGTCTGGGACATTAAGAAAATCAATTCCTAAAGCAATAGGAATGGTGGCCTATTTCTCAGGGGGGCTTAGAGACTCAGCCCCCACATAGCTCCTGCCTGTCAACTTGGCTGCCCCCAAGGAGGTCCCAGATGGCAGACAAATAACAGATCCTACCTTGACCCTGAACTTCCTATGGAGAGGCGCCCACCCACCCAGAAACTTCCCCCGTGTCTCCTTCAGACAGTAACTTGAGGCAGAGCAGGGCCTGCAGGGAGGGAAGGTTCCTGAGGACTTGCACCCATGGGGAGGCCAGCAGGGTGGGCTGCGAGGGGGAAAGCTGTCACCCTGCTTTCTCCAGCTTCAGTCCCCTCGCTGTCCTCCATTGTCCTGGATGAGACACACGCCCAGGGGCCCAGGGAGGACCTGGGGTCACTCAGTACATAAGACAGGAGGGTGTTTAAAATCCACAGGAATGATACCAGCTCAGCCCAAGGAAGGCAAACGTAGGAAGGATGCATCTGAGACCTGAGAGTCAAGGTCAGCATGACCCCGATAGGACATGACTGGGACTGTGCAGGGGCTTGGACCACAGCCTTCCGTCCTGGTAACAGAAAGAGGCCATTCCCAAGAGTCTGGAGAGGGACTCTGCTGGGTGGCCCATCACTTGCCCTGGCCACCGTGACCCAGTGCCCTACCAGCCAGGCCCTCTCTCCTGGGCCACCACACTTGGTCCCTGAGGTGGGTGGTGATGACACAGGTGGCCACACTGTTGAGCTGGGTGATAGTGGCATGGATGGTGGTACCATGTGCTCATTGCCAGGGTTGCTTTTCTGGGACCAGGTGGAGCCCAGGCACTGAGAGGGAGCCACTATTTTCAACACCCCCTGGGAGCAAGGGGGTGTCACATGATCTGCCACATTCCACCTCTGCATCCCAGTCAGGGGTCACCAATCGAGTGGGGGTTCAGGAAGCAGAGGACATGGCCAGAGCCCTGTGGGAACCCCTGGTTTTCTCTCTGTACACTGAGGACACCAGCATCACACTGACTGAAAATCAGCACGCACAGGACCCAGTATCGATGGGTAAAGTAGAGGGGCGTTTCAGCAACACTATCCTCACTAGAAGGCAGCTCAATTCTGCTTAACCTAATGGGGCGCCTTGTACCCACCCAGACCACCCCCTGGTCTGTCTCCCTATTCAGACGCACGTTCAGATGCACATTTGTGTTCACAGAATGCACGTTCTGACTCCCCGACCAGATGCACGTTCCCTGTGGCGACTACACCCCCGGGCCGTTTCTGTTTCTCTCCCATGTGGCTAAGTGCACGTCGGATGTGTGCTAACTGCTGGCTGAGCCTCTGGGCCAGTTGCTGGGTGCACCATGGTGAACTCCATCCCCCAACCAGTGGGCCAGGCCCCCCCTCCCCGCACTGTTCTGTCTGTTCCACCTCATTTAATCTGCACAGCCACTCTGTGCAGGATGTCCCATTATTGCCCATCCCTACTGACCTCGGGTGGACAGTGAAGGCTTGGGGTTTTTAAGTAAGTTGCCCAGGTCACAT